ACCATCAGCTTTCTTCACCACATTTGCTTATTCACCCGCTTTGTCTTCAGCGGTTATGTCGGGAAGGTGAGCATCATAGAATGCCAATTTAGTAGAAGAAAGTATTCTTGTGTTGAGGGAGTACTTGTGGAGGCCCAATGTCCTTCTGCTACCTTAATACTAAACCTATAAATATAGGCTCATAGATCTATTTCCCCCAAAAAAACAAAAAAATTCTTCATAATATCCCTGAAATTGTCTTGCATTGTTTGATAAAATCTATTAAAATTATCCCTTAGGAGTCCCAAAGCATGTAGCCTTCTGAGCTGACCTCTCTGCTTTGAATTTAACTGACTTGCATAGCAGATCAGGTCATCCCCTGAAGCCCCGGTTTTGACAGGATCTTGTTCTCTGAACCATATCCATAAATTCAAGATTCATCTCTTAAGATGTTTTGTTTCATAAAATTATCTTCATTAGCTTAGATCTTGATCCAAGGACTTGATGGAAAGATAGCTCTGGACCCAGATGGTCTTTGCACCGTGTCTTTGGCTGAAGGCTTCCTGAGGTCTAGATGTTCGTTTAAAATGGAAAACGCTAAATCATGTGAGATGCCAACTTCAGTAGCTGATGCACCAGTAGTAATTTTTACATCAGTTTCTGCCACAGTTTCTTTATTTGTTGAGGTTGATAGTCTTACATTTTTTGGCTCATCTTTGAGGTCTTCCCAACCTACCTTAAAAGGTTTAATTTATCTAAAAACTTGTTTCATATGGGCAGCATCCTTATAAGCTTATTGAAAAGTTTAGGTGATTTGAGACTCTTTTCACTTGAGTTTTGTTAACAATTTGATAGCGCTCTTCCTCCAAACACATTTTTTTTCCCCCGTAGCTCAAAAAATATCCCTTTCTTTGATGGCACTCTAATGAGATGGAGAGCTGGAGAGCATTTGCCTACATTCATCCACTGTTTGCAAAGGCATGTTTAAACACGTTTTGCTTATAATAAATCTGTGTATGTGTGAACTGGAACCACAGCAGCAATACCTTTTTACTTTTATACTGTAAATTAAAACCTAGATGTGTACATACTTTCTTTTAAAAGGATGAGCAAAGCTGGTTGCTAGGAGGTAGAGATTAAAGATGCTCATTTTCCAAACTCTTGTACCATTCCATCATCTCTTAACATTAACCCCTCTTCCTCTTTCCCCATCAATACTCTTTTTCTCATCTTAGAGTTTTGTAATATCTCACAGAACTCATGAACCATCAAGAAAAATTCTCATACAAATGTGGAGACTGACAAGTTTCAAATCTGTGAGTTAGGCATCAGTCTGAAGAATTCTTCTGACATGGCTGTAGGGGCCGATGAACCCTGACCACCTGGTTAGTTGACCCTGACAGCTCACAACTGAGAGCTCACAAGGCTGCAGAAGCTGATGTATCAGGTCAGATGATAGGCTGCTGGCTAAAGTTTTAAGACTCAGAGACCAGATATGAGCCAGGTGTGGGATCCAGAGCAAGAGAGAGTTGACAGAACATTAATTTATGTTGGATGTAGCCCATACTCTCAAGGAAACTAAGGATGGTGACTTAAGTCCCACCCTGTAGTACAACAGTGATTCAAGATATACCCAACTAAAATTCTGCTTCACAATGCGCTTTGGTGGCATAGTGGGTAACACATTGAGCTGCTAACCACAAAGGTAGTGGTTCAAAGCCACCGATGGCTGCTTGGGAGAATGATGAACCTTTCTACCCCTGTAAAGAGTTAGAGTGTCAGAAACCCTCGGGGGCATTTCTCCTCTGTACTGTAGGGTCACTATGAGTGGGAATCGATTCAATGACAGTGAGTTTGGTTTTAATCCTGCTTCACTAACAAAATGGACAACTCATTCCAAAATGGGACCATAGCCACAGGTGTAAAAACTAAGATTTACTTGCATTGCAAAACGGAGTACTATGGATAAAGGGGCCATACCAAGTAATTTACTGCAGGAGGCAGATGATGTTAAGTGACTTTACTTTGTTCCCGATGAGACAGATGGTACTGATACTACTCAGTTGTTCTTTATCCAAAGAGTCAGGCCTGTGTTTGAAGTGATTCAGGAACTGTTCGTTGCCATTCAGTTGGTTCCAACTCATAATTACGCTATGGACAGCAGACCGAAACACCGCCTGGTCTGTGCCATTCTCACATGTGCCATGTTTGAGTGCACTCTTATAGTTACTTTGTCAGTCCATTTGTCAAGGGGCTTCTTTTTTGCTGTCCGTCCACCAAGCATGAGGTCCTTTTCGAGAGACTGGTCTCTCCTGATAACATGTCCAAAGGACATGAGACAAAATCTAGCCATCCTTGGTTCTAAAGAGCATTCTAGCTAAACTTCCAAGACAGATCTGTGTGTTCTTTTGACAGTCCGTTGTACTTGCAATATGCTTGGCCAGCACCATAATCCAAAAGCAAATTTTATTCTTTGGTCGTCTTCTTTATTCAGTGTCCAACTTGCACATGCATATGAGTCCATTGAAAATACCAGAACGTGGGTCAGGCACATCTTATCCTCAAAGTAACATGCTTGACTCTCAATGCTCTAAAGGTTGAGCTAAAATAGGATGGATTTGTTCCATGTCAAGTTAATACTTTTTGTGTTTTTGGCTGTGTTGAGAGGGAAGTTTTATCTGAATCCCTTTTCCTTATTGTAAATCCAGAATTCTTATAATTTGCTATTTTTGCTGGTAGCTAAAAAGGCATATTTAACATAGTCTGTTGTAATTCTTTTTTTTTTCTTTCTGTAGGGCTATTTAGAAACCAAAAAATATTAAAAGAATATAAAGACTTCCTGGGAAACACCAAGGTAAGGCTATCTTTCTTATGTGCGTGCACGCACTCTCATGCACATGAGTGTTACCCTGTCAAATCCCAGTTTCAGTTCATTGTGAAGTTCTAGCATGTCTAATCAAATCTAAGATGTTTTGAGCACATTATAATATGAATTATTATCTAATTTGGTGAGGATATGAGTTTATGAACTCATAATTCAGACCAGAATCGTACCAATAAAGATGTAGGAGATTTTATTTTCAGCAAGATTTAACTGTCTCATGTGCATCTCTTTTTTATTGATCTTCTCACTTAATGCTAATACTATCTAAACCTTCAAACTGTCAGCTTTGCCTGTGTGTTGGGTTTTAAACCCTGGAGACATTGATGCACAGACATTGATCTCTGTGTATTATATGCCTATACAAAATGAATAGACAGTGTTCCTGGAAAGCTGTGTTAAATTAAGTCTGTTGAATAGTTCCTGGGATATAAAGCTTGCATATCTTTTCCTCTCCTCCCAAACTCCTTATAGATTCATTGATTCCTTGTCAATTGATGACCATATACCACAGTATACTGGAAGACATTAGATGCAATCTTCTTTTTTAAAATAAAAGAATTCAAGTGTATCTATTAGATATATGCCAAGGAACTGCTTTAATTTCTATTAGCATTTAAGTGTAGCCATGTTCAAATACATGCATATAAAACCAACTCCTCTTGTCTCATTTCTGTCCCTTCCCCAGTATATCTGTCCTTTGTTTCCTTACCACCACTACCACCCACCCCATCTTACTTGTGCATCATCTGGTTCTCCCTTGTGATTTAATTTTGACTATCAGCATACAGACAAGTTTTCTTAAGACGCAGCCCAAGAACTTTATACACCATAGTTCCTCTAACTCCTGGCACACGACTGCTTTTTTAACAGTAGTTTTTACCAAATTGTTTGTGCCCATTGTCTTCATCTCTTTTGGCCTCGCTCTAGTTGGACTTTCATTCCCACCACTCCTAGGAAATGGTTTCTACCAACATCTTCAAAATGCCAAGTGATCTGTGTCCAGAGTTGATTTTAGTTTAAATTTAGCTCAAGGTGGCTCCCATCCAGAAGGTAATCCTGTATCGGGGGGAAAAGCTACCTATGCCAACTCTCTTCTGTGTGTGTTCCTGAAGACATCGCTCGCGCCTTACAAATGCACAAATTGGCAGTGGTGGCATCTGTGACATTGAGACCCTCATAATTCCCTTTTCCCCTTTGAGCAATGTGGTTTTCGTCATTGCAGGCCTGTACGCGAGGTGTGAACTCTCTTTGTAGAACGTTGATAGTCCTTTCTTTTTTAAGATTTTATTTTAGGCTTTTAACTTTTTATTGTGCATTGGATAAAGTTTTATAGAGCAAATCCGTTTTCACCCAACAATTTAATACATTTTGCTTCATGTCATTGATTGCAGTCCCTACAATTTAATATCACTTTTCTTACCTCATCCCATCACTTCCTGTTTCTACTCCTTGTCCTTTCTAATACTTCCTGCCCTCTGAGATTTGTCCTTGGGCAAATATTACTCTTTTTGATATGACATTTTTGGTCGATGGTTCTAAGAAGCATGTAGCTCTCTAGTGTTACTGTTCCCCTTATACGGTTCCCTATCTGTTGTTTGACTGAAAATTGAGCCACAGGGGAGCATTCAATTCTAAGCTGAAGGGTGGTTTTAGGGTCATAGTCTACCAGTTCTACTAGTCTCAGAGAGCTTAGTCTTTTTTGGGACTTTGAATTTTGTTTCACAGAATTCTTTAACTCTATCCAGTACCTACTGCTGTGATCCCTTTCAGAGCGGTGGTAGTGGTCTCAGTGTGGCGGAGGGTGACGTTTACACACTGATAAATTAGTCCTTTGGACTATTTGTTTCCACATGTGTTTGTTTTTCTTCACTCTTCTTTCCTTCAGGCTTAAACCAACACCAAACTCACCACCATCAAGTCCATTCTGACTTAGTACCCTTTGTCAAAGATCAACTGTCCATAGCTGAACGAATTTACTTCTAGGTTTTCAGTTTTGTTCTGCAGGTCTTTATGTCTGTCTGTCGTACTAGTACCAGGTCGTTTGACTGCCGTGGCTGTAGAGTATATAGCATTGGTGATTAGTTTTTCCACCTCTTTAAAGAATCTGGATCAGGATCTGGATCTGTCTATCTGTAGATCACATTGGGTAATATTGACATGTCATAAAATTTTCATGTCCATGAAGGTATTCAAAAAGTTTGTGGAATAGTGGAATTAAGAGATAATGAAAAATTTTCATAACCTTTTTGAAGCTATCTCTTTGAAAACTTCTGGTATATCCAAAAGAATTGAAAGCAGCAACTCAGATGCTAATATTTATCAAAGTGTTACTGTAGTCTAAACGTAGAAGCAACTATAAGTGCCTGTCAACAGAAGAATGTATAAACAAAATTCAGTATGTGCATAAAATGGAATATTATTCAGCCATAAAGAGAAATAAAGTTCTGATGCATGCTGAACCTTGAAGTCATTCCGGTGAGTTAAAAAGGTGACACACAGATGGCTACATACTGTCTGATCTGACCCCCTATGAAATGTCTACACGAGGCATATCCATTGAGATGAAAGATGAGTGTTTACCAGCAGAGCTGGGGATAGGAATGTAGAGGAATATAAAGAAAAACAATCTTTTCAAAATATTACAACATTTCTTAATTTTAAGAGTCCAAAACATTATTTAAATGACATCGAATCACTAAAATTAAAAAAAAAAAGTCATTGTAGTTTATAAAAACCTGTGGGGCATAGTGTCAAATCCTGCCATTTTCTTTGCTCCCCATGTTTTATCCCTTGTCCTTATTTTTGTCTTTTGTACACACAAGACATATTTCTTTTTTTTAAAAATCATTTTATTAGGGGGTCATACAACTCATCACAATCCATACATACATCAATTGTGTAAAGCACATTTGTACATTCATTGCCCTCATCATTCTCAAAACATTTGCTCTCCACT